TTAATTCAGTTTCGTATAAAGATAAAAACAAATTAGCAAACAGAAGGGCACAGTTAGTTCTCATAAGTATGCCAATAGCCTGTTGGAAGATCTTACCATCAAACTCGACGAAGACGTTATCATTCAGAAACTCCATCATTTGCGTGATTTTTTCCTCGGTATATATCTTCTTTGATTTGGATTTTTTTTCCATGAAATATGCTTAAGTATAATTCACAGCCATATGTTTATACTGCCGATCACATTTCCTGGAAAAACTCTGAGCAAGAGAACGAAGGCGTTCCTTTAGTTTAGAATGGGGTATGGTAGAGTACAGGGTGGAAAAATCAAATGTCCTTAGAAATGAATCTTAGAAGAAGATGGAGATTCGTCAAAAGCTTTTTGGAGATCTTTAAATCTACATACTATTATGTTCACTGCTTGTGTTTACAGTATTACAATAAGACTGTAACCCAGATTTGATAGTGCGAGGAATAGGAGTTAGCAGTTTTGACAAAGGTTTGATTGAACAGCCAGACAAGTCAGCAATAAAACGTTGTTTAGATGGGGTTTGTGGAGTTTAGGAAACCAATATAAACTGGGGAGGTCCGTATCCTTTTTCATTTATAGGCAATCTAAATGATTGCAATACTGAGAAATCAAAGTATTTCTTCTTGGGAAAGATTGCATAGTTTTTTTAGTGTAGTTTTCTTCGTTATCAAACAAACCTTGTTTTTTTTGTATACAGTTATTGTTATAGTATTTGCAGAAAATGTTGTTTGAGAGGATGTCAGATAGTCAACAAAGAGAATAAGTAGCAGAGGTTGTCCAATATCACAGATGTCAAGTAACTGATGTTCGGCCAGACAGGCCTGTGTTTTTTTTTTGGTTTTTGGGGTTTTTTTATTTATAACAGAAAGACAAAACAAGATCTGGTAGCAGTCTTTGGTATACTATTTTATCGCTTCTGTTAAAGTGATGTGAATTTGAATTGACATAGATTTTTGTTATTTGTTATGTCCCCAGTTACCACACTGTCACAAACGTACAGCAAGGGAGACAACCCGTACTGGCGCCAGCATCTATTTTATCTCTCTGTGTTGCATTAACGCTAAGAATCGAAACTGTTTAATTTCGATAGACAGATGCTTAATTGTTACAAAAGAAATGTCTAAGGCACTACTACTATCTTTATTGAATTTCTAAATAATTCATTCACTTATATATAATTTATAAAATTAAAATTTTATATTTCATTTCCAATCAATGAATTATATCATATGGTTAACTTGATTGGGAACTCTTTTGAAATTGTCACAATGATGTAGCATGTCTCGTTAAAGAGATAGTCACACGACAGCAACAAAGGGTGCTTACTTCAGAACAGATTGTGCACGGAATTTTATAACACATTGTAACGTATAACCGTCAGAATTAACACATGTGATTTAATATAAAGAAAATATTACCATCACGTGTCTTTTCCTGATGGAATCACACGAGTGTTTGCGTGCTACGAAACGTAACACGCTAATTAAATGGCGATGTAATCAATGCTCTTTGTCGAGGGGGATGTGGCGGGGAATGTCTGGGCTCTCACGAAGAAGGGGATCGGATGTGGGTCCTGGATTCTAATAATGTAGGGGTCACGGCGAGCTTGCGTGGAGGACGGTATGATAGGAGTCGGCAGGAACCTGATGTCTCAGAATTACAACGTAAATCCAAGAAAATTCCATATAATTGTATTGGTTTCTGCTACTGGTACTGAATGACAATAGTCCACATGGGGGTGAAAGGAATATTTTCCAGACAAAAGAATTAATTTCTAGACGACGGCAATCGTCGTCAACCTTCACAACGAGATGTCTTATCAAATTTTACGTTAAGCTTTTGAATGTCAAATTCATTTCCATGGAGTTAAATGTTGAATAGCTTTTGTCATTGCGACAAAAATTCCAGAATACTGAATGTTTACGATCTGAGACATGTGTGACAAAACAGGAATTAGACACAGGAGGCAAACAAACTGTACCAAATGTCAGTCTAGTGTTGTTAATCTTCTGACAGCCTTCAGATGCAGTAAAAAGGCAATTATGATGTTAAATGCGGAACGTCAAAATGGAGGGGAAAACACCACCACAAAATAAATGGCCATCTTACCGTTGTTTAAACCCCTTCCGTCACCTTATCAATATCCAAACAGATAATCTCATGCCTTACCTCCCCGGACCTCATATTTATCTAGTCCGACCTCTCCTACCAGCCCTCGCCCAAACCTTAATCATTCTCATCCCTCGTCTAATCCAAATCTAGATAATTTTCGTCTCTCGTCTCATCCAAACCTAGATCATTCTCGTCCCTCGTCTCATCCAAACCTAGATCATTCTCGTCCCTCGTCTCACCCAAATCTAGATCATTCTCGTCTCTCGTCTCATTCAAACCTAAATTATCCTTGTTCTCGTCCCTCGTCTCACCAAAACCTAAACTATTCTCGTCCCTCGTCTCACCCAAATCTAGATCATTCTCGTCTCTCGTCTCATTCAAACCTAAATTATCCTTGTTCTCGTCCTTCCTCTCTCCCAGCCTCCCCACCATTTCCCCCGTTTTCCTTATAATAGTCCTTGTCTCTCATCTGTACCCTCATTTCCCCTGCTCTCGTCTCTCCCCTACTTTACATTTTATCCTCATCTATCTCTCATCCCCATATTCCTATAATCTATCTACCTCATCTCTCCCTCATCTCTCATCCATAACTCTCACCATTCCTAGTTTCTCCAAAACCCCTCACCATCAGCCCTGCAGCAGTCCTCGTGTTTCTCCCCGGTCTCTCACTCCTCTCCCTAACTCTCCTATTTCCCTAACCCCCTCCCCCCCCCCCAACAAATACCGCCACTATTTCTTCCCCACCCCTCACTCATTACGATTCTAGTAGTTCTCGTTCGTTTTGACAGTAATATCCCCTTAGATTAAACCATTTCTAAAGATTCGAATGAACTAATTTCCTATCATTACGTTTGCACTTTAAGCGTTCAGTAATTGTCTCTGTCTCTCTTCTGATTTGGCTATCTCGTGGTTATATTGCATTTGTAAAGGCTATCGGATTTTCTCATCGCCAATCAGGATTACAACCTCATTACCTCCCGCTGTAATTCATAAAACTGTGATAACATATACAACATACTGGTCCAACAACAATAACGGAAAATTATTACCTGATTATAAATCCATTTTATTAATTGGTGTTTTACATATATATAGATAATCCAGTCAATGTGGCATTCAATGTATTCCTAAGTAAACAGAACTAAGTTATAGATTAGGTCTATAACGAGTGTTAATATCAGACATCGGTCTATATTTGAAATTAAAAAAAAAAAATTGTAAAGTTTTGTAAATTTGACATTGTAAAATAAGAAAACAAATATTTTTTGCTTCAGTTGAGAGCAGTTGAACCGTTGAGACAGTGAGAATGTAGACCTACAGTCATGTGTGGCGGGTACTGGTCCTGAGATCTTCAGTGCATTGTGCTTCCAAGTCTCAGATCCGAGATCTAGACAGGGTATTAACCGTGAGATCTTCAGTGCTTTGTGTCCCGTGGTCCCAGATCCGAGATCTAGACAGGGTATTGACCGTGAAATCTTCAGTGCGTTGTGTTCTGTGGTCTCAAATCCGAGATTTAGACAGGGTATTAACCATGAAATCTTCAGTGCGTTGTGTTCTGTAATCCGAGATCTAGATTGTGTATTAACCGTGAGATATTCAGTACTTTGTGTTCCGTGGTCTGAGATCCGAGATCTAGACAGGGTATTAACCGTGAAATCTTCAGTGTTTTATGTTCCGTGGTCTCAGATCCGAGATCTAGACAGGGTATTAACCGTGAAATCTTCAGTGTTTTATGTTCCGTGGTCTCATATCCGAGATTTAGACTGGGTATTGAACGTGAAATCTTCAGTGCTTTGTGTTCCGTAGTCTCGGATCCGAGGTCTAGACGGGGTATTAACCGTGAGATATTCAGTGCTTTGTGTTCCGTGGTCTCAGATCCTAAATCTAGACTGGGTATTGACCGTGAGATAGACAGGGTATTAACTGTGAGATATTCAGTGCTTTGTGTTCCGTGGTCCCAGATCCGAGATCTAGACTGGGTATTAACCGTGAAATCTTCAGAGCTTTGTATTCTGTGGTCTCAGATCCGAGATCTAGACTGTGTATTAACCGGGAAATCTTCAGTGCTTTGTGTTTCGTGGTGTCAGATCCGAGATCTAAACTGGGTATTAACCGTGAGATATTCAGTGCTTTGTGTTCCGTGGTCTCAGATCCGAGATATTCAGTGCTTTGTGTTCCGTGGTCTCAGATCCGAGATCTAAACTGGGTATTAACCGTGAGATATTCAGTGCTTTGTGTTCCGTGGTCTCAGATCCGAGATCTAGACTGGGTATTGACCTTGAGATAGACAGGGTATTAACTGTGAGATATTCAGTGCTTTGTGTTCCGTGGTCTCAGATCCGAGATCTAGACTGGGTATTGACCGTGAGATAGACAGGGTATTAACTGTGAGATATTCAGTGCTTTGTGTTCCGTGGTCTCAGATCCGAGATCTAGACTGGGTAATGGCATCCACTCTATATCATCGTAGGAGTGTGTGACGTCATCATCTTTGTTTACTTACCATTTCTGTACCTTTTCCAGTAGCGGATTCTGCATATTACAGCATGGATTGAGTGCTTGAAGTTAAAGTAGATAAAGGCAGCATGTATCGAGTACCGTGTGAATGAAGTAGACAAGGGAGAGGATCTTAATCTCATTTGATCTTGAAGTTTATGTAGAAGATATTTTGAACATTTAGAGTACATTTTAATAGATTGAAAAATAATATTATTAAATCTGCGTTCTTCGTCTTTATATTTGTCTTTGTTTTTGCCTCTGTCTTTGCCTTAGTCTTTGCCTTTGTCTTTTCCTTTGTCTTTGCCTTTGCCTTTGATTTTGTCTTTGCCTTTTTCTTTTCTTTTGCCTTTGTCTTTGTCTTAGTCTTTGCCTTCGTCTTTGCCTTTGTCTTTGCCTTTGCCTTTGATTTTGTCTTTGCCTTTTTCTTTTCTTTTGCCTTTGTCTTTGTCTTTTCCTTTGCCTTTGTCTTTGCTTTTGTCTTTGTCTTTGTTTTTGTCTTTGTCTTTGCCTTTTGATTTTGCCTTAGTCTTTGCCTTTGTCTTTCTCTTTGTCGTTGTCTTTGTCTGCGTCTTTGTCTTTGCTTTTACCTTTTCTTTTGCCTTTGTCTTTGTTTTTGTCTTTGCCTTTGGCTTTTCCTTTGCCTTTGTCTTTGTTTTTGTCTTTGTTTTTGTCTTTGCATTTGCCTTTGTCTTTGCCTTCGTCTTTGCCTTTGTCTTTGCCGTTGTCTTTGCCTTAGCCTTTGTCTTTGTCTTTAACTTTGTATTTGCCTTAGTCTTTGCCTTTGCCTTTGTCTTCGTCCTTGTCTTTGTCTTTGCTTTCGTCTTTGCTTTCGTCTTTGTCTTTGCTTTGTCTTTGCCTTTGCCTTTGTCTTTGCATTTATTCTACTTCTTCGAGGTCAATGCTCTTGATGGCAAGCGACGGGCCTCTCGTATGCTTTTCAATGGGGTAGTAACCAAGACGACGTCGGCTAAAAATGATCATGGCTGTTCACGGGCTTTATAAACCCAACCTACAAACAAACAAACTAGTCACTACCAATCGCCCCCTTTGACTTTCGTGGTTTTTTTGAAAATGTAAACATGTGTAATCTATGTCAATATAGATAATGTTGGGCTATCAAAATAAGAACTGTGTCAGTAGCAGATCATGATAGCGACACATTAAAGGGACTTAAATGATACAAGAGACATTGAAGTGGATGTCACCTTTCAAAACAAATTCAGAATTAGATACAGTAGAGCTATATTATCGGTGAAACTGCATTGGCTGTTTCGTCTGTCTTGGACTCCTGGTGCTACGGGCCTAAAATTGGTCGAAAGACATATCAGAATCTGTCTTGCAATGTCTGCTTACTTTTAGATATATCTGACAATTTCAGAAAAACGCCACGTATACGTGTATATACTGAGCCTTACAGCTATTGGGATCACATAAAACTAGGTTACTAGTGTATTACGGTACAGAGGGAAAAACAATGAGTTTACCTATTGGGTAACTGTCATTGTTGTCCCCTGCGGTTTTGTTCGATATCGGTGTTCAGCCACGCCAAAATTTCCTACCGCTTCTCTTATATGTAGGAAAACATTACGGAAACCAATAAAAATCGCTTCAGCTAAGAATTTTCTCATAACTCTAATCATGCTTTCCTTTAAGTGACGATATTGCCTTAATGTTCTTTAATAAATAATGAGTTCTGATGAGTCTAGGACCGGTTGTGTTACGGCCATTAGGATCGGTTTCTCAAGGGATGTACATGTCCGATACATAGGTACCGTATAGTCAATATGATGTCTCATCCCAACTCCTTAATTACCCCCGATCCTCTATCCCTTCATGTTTTTGTTTGAGATGTTCACGAGGAACGTGTGAATCCCCGGTAGAAGTGAGATGAATTAGATCAATACCGAATGTCATTTGCCCAATATTTTTATGGGTTTTCTAGGAGACAGCTCTAGATTAAATACAGAAGATGGCACCTTTTCGGGTTTCTCTATCTATTTCAAGCAAATTTTGACAACAATAAACAAATTTGGATCACTCGCCATTGAGAAAAACGTGACAGAGTAAAACGCACGCCCAATATAACCGAGAAGCATAAAGCGAGGCGCCACAGTGAGATTGTAAGAGTTATTTCCCTTGAACCAATGTTTGTCGATTTCGATCATTTAACTGAATTTTGTTGTTGCCAAATGCCTCTAATTCAACGGACCATTTTTGTAACTTAAGCTTGATTGTTTTCGGTTATAACATATGGTCAAACATCGATATATTTTAAACTTGATTGGTAAGAGCGCACACTGGTATCAAGCAGGTACGCAAAGAAATTAAAAATTAAAACACAAGAGAAGCCATCCATTGTTGATGCGGAGGACAGTCGTCTATCTAAGTACGCGATGATAGAGATAGTATCTACTGATGACGGAGACGACACTCGATGATGATGATCATGATGATAATAGATACAGCATTTATGATGACGTAGACGACATCTGCTGATGATAGATATATAATCCACTGATGACGAAGACAACATCCACTGATGACGTAGACAACATTCACTGATGACATAGCCATCTGCTGATGATACAGATACCATCCACTGATGACGGAGACAACACCACTGATGGCGTAGACAACATCTGCTGATGACGTAAACAACATCCACTGTTGACGTAGACAATATCCACTAGAAAAAAACCTCCGATCACGTAGACAACACCCATTGATGACTTAGACAACATACACTGATGACGGAGACAACACGCAATGATGACTTAGACAACATACACTGGTGACGGAGACAACATACACTGATTTCCAAGCCAAAATCCACTGATGACGTAAACGATAGCCGCATATGACTATCCATTGATGAAGGATACAGTTACGTCTCCTTGTCACTGAAAATGCTTCGATGACGTAAAACAGCAGAAAATACTTGACAACATACGTTGACGGAGATTATATATATTGATGAAACAAACAAAATCAATTGGAACATCGGAAAATCATGGAGGACGATAATATCACGGATACAATGAAAGAGGTTTTTCTTCCTGCGGTGACGGAGAGAACATTACATGCATTGCAAACAGGCATCAAAATTCGAAAACTTCAAACTTTCATGGCTAATACAATTTAACTGAACGACTTCAACATAGCTATATATCTTACCAATAAAGACATTACATTCATGGTATTGTCTATTTGTCATGGGTTTTATCAATGAGTCAGTTTGAAGCGGGTCTCATTTAGTAGCTGGTAGTTATCTCACTGAACAACACACGGGAGGCCCTTGGCTAGCCATTAGATCTGCACATACAGATTACAAAAGTTAAATAGATTTTTATTATCTTCCACAGTATATCACCGGTCGGCGATGAAGTCTACTATAGCTTTCTGTTACTTCCATACTATATATCTGAGGAACCACCATCATAATCTGATTCTAGACCATTTTATGATTTTGATAAGGCCTATTCAGATATCGCCATCTGTAGGGACATTATGAAAGATATATGGTCTAAATGTATTTTAAAATTTACTTTCAATTGCAAAGGGGAATCAATGCAATCATTTTTGAACATTTGTAACTAAGTTTATTCTGTGTACATAACGCCAAAAAATATGTTTATTGGATGGTTCTGTGAAGTGATTACTGTCGACATTTTTGAGATCAACATTGTATAAGTATATATATAAATATACACATAAAACTATTTTGAATATGTTTCACAAAAATCTGTCCGCTCGTTTCTTCGCTATTGATCAGAACGTTTTTGTGCTACTTGTGAAGCAAAATCTGTCAGTGGGGACGAAAATAACAATATACATGTTTAAAATTAGTTACAGAGATAAAGGGTGCCATTTCTAAATTAGAAATTTGTTAATCTAAATCTTGATAGCATATTTCTGTCATCACGACTTAATAATGTCGACATAGTCTTACTATCTGTATTATCAACATATGCAGGTATCGAGTACTGCATCATCGGCCTCGGGTAAAAATCACACTATCGGTTATTTAAATAAGCCGAGGACTATGGGAGTACCGATCACCTATAAGCTGGTACCGGTGTTAATCATGGTCCTGTAAATGAATAGAACTGGTTCCTGAATAAAGTATTTTACTCAGAATGTAGAATCTTAACTGCACCGACCCCTCATACGTTCTGGGATATAACAAGTAAATAAAATGAAGACACGGTTTCGTAACATGCTCATTCCGGTTCCATTAATTTTCATTTATAATCACCCGGCACGGAGACTTTCCCGGGAAATCTACTTTACCAAATTCTCACAAGAAATATTTAAAATCAAAACCAAGAACACTACTGCACAGCAGAGATATCAAACTTAAAGCTTATCTCCCTTGTAAATAGCATATCTTTTTTTTTAATAATGTCGTTTTCTAACATCGCTTGATTATGTGTTATCACTCCATTTTAAAAAGTGTATTCCAGAATAGTTCCACACTGTTGAATGTTAACTGTAGCGTGTGTAAAGTGAAAGTCACCTATATGCGATGATCTATTTTTGGCGTTTGCCGTACCCGTGCGACTGCGGTACTGTTCGTGTGTATCGCGAGAGGCGGGTGGCATGCTGAGAGCAAGCTTCTCTTCTTGTTTATAATCGACAGGCGTAATTACTGACTCGTGACAACTTTACCTGTACCCAACTGGGTACGAAAATATAGAGCAAGTGCACAGTCACCGTACTTACGATAGAACACAACAGAAATAGACCAATATGAAGTGATAGATTGCGACCGGATTTATGACCGTTGGTGATTGACAGGTGTGAGGTGAGTTTACAGACGAAATTTAATTCCTTACTGTACAGTAGCCTAGTTGCATTATCTTATTAATTCATAACTGACTTGTAGTTTGAGTATCAGGGTTACACGGCAGCTGACAGCTTGGTTTGCATCCATCAGCTGGTGCCTGTTTATGTGTAGCTAAACGGAAAGATGAAAGAACACAGTAACGACATATATGATCCTTACTTTGCAAAGATAATAAATAAATACACAAACCATCATCATCATCATCATCATCATCAATAATTATGAAATGTTCCTGGTTCTGTTTAATGGACTTTCATGATACCCAATAAAAGAAATCAAGTGAATTTAACAGTGAAATGTTTTATCTTACAAATCTTCTGTATACTTATATGAAGTATCATTCATTTCATACATATCTTTAAAATTTTATTTCTGTATGATGTTTAAAAAAACATTGAAATTTACACAAAATATGAATCAAATGTGATAAATAATCGTTTGTACTAAAAGAAGCCATTATTTTTATCCCCAAAAGAATGATTCACAGACAACAAGAAGGCAATCTATCATGTAGGAAGATATTGGATACTGTAGGATTTTCATGTCTTTTTTACTAGGAGATCCATGCTTTAGGGGTCGCCTGGGGGTCTAGCGGGGTATAAAATAGACATTAAGGCAGATGAATAAACAGTTAATATTTACAATATTCCGGATAATCATGATGTGATAATGTATCAGCATTTGCACTCCAACTGACTGTAAACAAAAACTAGAAATTGATTTTGTTCTCTCTGGTAGCATCACAATAGCTAGAGGACAACCTTTATTCATGTGAAATGTTTGAATTAATATTTCCTTAACAATTGTCTTTTTTCCCCCTTGTTCCTCATTTTAGGATAGATTTCAGTAAATAACACTTTATTGTATAGAGAAAGTCGCATCTTTCACTGTTATTGGGGCTCCACAACTTGCAACCTCTTACTTGCAAGGTGGGATGGTTGGACACTGCTAAAGGGAAAAGAAATTCCCACTAGACAAGGTCGTAGTAATGTGCTCTGACTCTGAACATCAGCGCTGTTCCCTCCTTCATAAGGTCTTTGACCCGAAGACTACAAAACCCAGGTTCAGTATCTCCAAGTTAGCATAGCATTTTCAGGTTCAGTATCTCCAGGTTAGCTTAGCGTTTTCCTATATAGCTTCTACTTTTGGAGTGGTCAATGACAATGTCACCCAAATCTGTTATTAGAAAACGAAATGGCAAAAAGATGTCTTGTCCCCATGGATACTCAAAACAGTGATCTTTTGCATTTGAGGCAAACACTCTACCACTTGACTAAAGGAAATTTTCCTCTGGTCCAGCCAATAGTAAGATGTCTTGTACTTATATCTACAGATACACTTAATTACTATTAAAATAGATCAGAAAAGTCAGGGCTCTCACTTCCCATTTTGGGACTGGGGCACGGGGCCCTTAGAATTGGGAAAAATAGTGGCGTTTTCCTTGGAATTGGGAAAACTTGGGGTCTAAGTTGGGAAAAAAAGATACTATTTTGCATTGGGAATGGGGCCGAATATCGACGCCAAATCTGGCAGATCGAGAGCCCTGAAAGTATATGTAAGGGCAGCAAGGAATGTTATCTAAATTTAATTTTTATGATGATAAAAAGTTTACCAAAAATAAAAAAATATAGCAAATATAATCGTGTGACAGAAAACGTAAAAATCAATGTTTTGTGATCTGCTGGGTCAATTCAAAACGATATGGTCTTTGGTCCAATTGTAATGAATGTAAGGTTGTAGCAGGATGGAGTTATTTATGTAACGTCTTTTAAAGGTGAAAAGAATTCTTGTACCTACTTCAATTTAGCTGCAGTGAATTCTTGGTCCAGGTGGGGTCTACTTCAGATATATTTCTAAATATGTGTTCAGTCACAAATTGGCTTATTTATTTCTGTTCAGTTTTGGTTACATAAAGGTGAAAGGTCAGATATTTGTGTTGGATTAGGGTTTATAGCTACAACTGTTACTTGAGGTGTGTTATTTAAGATTGCAGTGGAGGGATGACAGATAGTTTACTGTCCTAGTATAACACAATCCAATTTTGATCTCAATGAGGCAGGTGGGGGTTGGTGAAATATATTACAGTAATTTTGGTTAGAAAAAGTGGATTTTTTTGTGCTTTGAAAGCTGAATCCAATTTGCATGAAGTCTGTAAAGTTGAACGTTACTTTCATAAGTGGTGACATTATCCTGCTCTGCTATCATTTTTGAAAAGGTAACATAACCGTTTGGTGAAAATATGAAAGCATTATGATGGAATATTTTTTTAATTATCCCATCATCCTTACCATTCCGCCTAGATCTGTCCCCAATTCTTACTTCCAAATGACATTTAAAATGCTTCCTAAAACAATCTTGAAATCTTATCTACCTACTTTATCAAAGACTAAACTCCTAAATTCTCACACAAAATGCCAACATAACCCCCTCAACCCTTTTGGCACAAAACACCCATTGTACCTGTCTCAACATCTTATTTACCTAAAACCTATCATAACCCTCTGAACCTGACGTTGTCCTCTAAAACACCCATGATATGTATACCTTACTCAACTCCCATATTGTCAGGCTCCTAAAGCACTTTGAATACATACCTCTCTCAAACCCTTGTTTGCCCCTAAATTACCCTTTCCATCAATAAGATGGCCCCTGGAACACATATCATAACCTTCTCAACCACCCTTATTCGCCTCTGGAACACCCATCATACCCTTCTCAACCACACTTATTGGCCTCTGGAACACCCATCATACCTTTCTCAACCACACTTATTGGCCTCTGGAACACCCATCATACCTTTCTCAACCACACTTATTGGCCTCTGGAACACCCATCATACCCTTCTCAACCACACTTATTGGCCTCTGGAACACTTATCATACCCTTTTCAACCACTCTTATTGGCCTCTGGAACACCCATCATAACCTTCTCAACCACACTTATTCGCCTCTGGAACACCCATCATACCCTTCTCAACCACACTTATTGGCCTCTGGAACACTTATCATACCCTTTTCAACCACCCTTATTGGCCTCTGGAACACCCATCATACCCCTTTCAACCACCCTTATTGGCCTGTGGAACACCCATCATACCCTTCTCAACCACCCTTATTGGCCTGTGGAACACCCATCATACCCTTCTCAACCACCCGTATTGGCCTGTGGAACACCCATCATACCCTTCTCAACCACACTTAATGGCCTGTGGAACACCCATCATACCCTTCTCAACCACCCTTAATGGCCTGTGGAACACCCATCATACCCTTCTCAACCACCCTTAATGGCCTGTGGAACACCCATCATACCCTTCTCAAACACCCGTATTGGCCTCTGGAACACCCATCATACCCTTTTCAACCACACTTATTGGCCTCTGGAACACCCATCATACCCTTTCCAACCACACTTATTGGCCTCTGGAACACCCATCATACCCTTTTCAACCACCCTTATTGGCCTCTGAAACACCCATCATGCCCTTCTCAACCACCCTTATTGTCTTCTGGAACACCAATCATGCCCTTCTTGATTCCCATAATTGGCCTTTATAACATCTATCAATCTCATTTCCATCCCTTTTTAGGCCCCTAAAGACACCCATTACACCTCTATGAATCCCTTATTTGCCCTGAACGATATGAAAAAATTAATGGCAGTTCTATGTAACACCAAGAATTAACACAACAATAAGATATATCTTCTGTAGACCCAGTTTTGTGAGAGTTTAGATTGAAGATGATATAGACAGTCTCTTTTATTATATACAGATTTAGTGTTTTGACAAGGAAGGTATCGTGTAAAATCTTTCAAATATGTTTGAACAACAATCCATTATTTGATAGAATTCAGTGTGATATCAATAAAGCAAGCTGCTTATTGAGTTTAAATGTTGCCGATAGTGATGGTATGAATAATTCAAAAGGTGGTAATCATTATAATGTTCTAATTGTATAGAAATTGTTTGGTCTATTGTCAAAAAAAGCAAACATTCAATTTCTCTTGTAATTTTAAATATAACACATATTCAACAATCCAATGTAGATTTGATAAAATAAACAATTTTTTTATTGATCCCTATTGTAATGTGTGTGATATTGTTCAGATTCACAGCTTTAAATGGGCCAATCATGCTTTCTGCTTTGGCAAGGGATAACACTGTACATACTTATTGTGTAGCGATACATTGTCAGGTTTATTTAGTTTGTAGAGAAACAAATATTTATTCCTTGGTCAACCATTATGTTCATGTTTCTATCCTTAGAGTCCTCAAACACGGCTCTAGTATTTAATGGGTTAATTTGCTTGAAATGTTTTCCTCTGATTGGCTACGGAGTACAACATATATTTCCATATATAGTATGTAAGGACGGTTGCCCCAGTGCTCCTATTTAAGTATCTCTTATAAAAGAGAGTTCCAATTTGTTCGATGTTCAAAACTTTTTTTTAAAGTTTGAAGTTTTGCTTGACATGAAAGTTATCATAATTGCATCAAATTTCATGTGAAAGAAATTATATATTATAATTTTGATTTTAACAAAAAAAATCCTTTGTGCATGGGGTTTAATGTATATCCATTATTCTGTGATGGATACAAATGCAGACTCAGAAAACAGGGGGAGAGATTTTAACTATTGAAGGAATGTAAATTATTTATAATTGATAAACATGCAGGTGGGCTTATTTATATATACTGTAGGCACGGTACTCTTGTCAAATGAATATATTGAACTGACATGTAGACATCTGCT